TATATATATATATATATATATAAGTATTAGTCATTAGAAATAAAACTTCAATTCAATGAAAATTATTTTAGATATGATAATATTAAATAAAATCAAACTAATTGAAATTTACTTTATTTATGTTTTAGATGAACACCCGTTTCAATATTTTTTTTTATATTCGAGAGAAAATTCAGAAAACATTAGACACTTCATAAACGGGAGAAGTACCACTAAACGAAATTAATAAGAAAATTAATGATTTTTAAAATAGCTAAATGACACATTTTAAAAATATATAATAAAAAAAAAAAAATGAACCAACATATGTTGCTTTTAAAGTTTGAATACGATGTTGTTATTGTAATTTTCCTAATAAAAAAAAAAAAAAAACTTGAAAATGATCCTTGAGTAAAACCAACGTTACCTGTGATAACAGCTATTTTCTTTGGTGCAACCAACACCTCCTGCATGAGGCGTCAAACCATTTCAACAGTTAAACAACGTGGCTGATAAATAAGATTCTCGAAATTCCCTACTCATTCACTGTTACCGATTGGTCAAACTATGATAATAGTACATTATTAGTTTATATTTCAATAATATAATAACTATACGGCCAGAGACCAGGTGAATGGAACTCTTTGGAACACTGAATCATAAGATTATTGCAGGAATACTAGCCAAGCACCATCAACTTATTAATCAGAATTTATAGCTTTTTATTCAGTTATCCTACATACAAATAACTAAAGTTTTTTGTTACTTTGGTGCCTCAAAATCATATTGCTAGTCCACAGATCATAGACCAAAATATAAATTGAGCTAATCCAAAGATAAAATTCAGCCTAAACTGTAGCAAGAATCCCATCATGATGGCATCAATGTGATTGATCCTTGTATCACTTTCCAGATGATTCATATCAATGCATCAGACTCCGGATAAAAGCAGAAATAATTTGATCCAATGTGTCCCTGGTATAGCAGTGGGAATTGGGAAATAACCAAAAAAAAAAAAAAAAGTCTACCGAAGGATCATCACAGATTTCCTATAAGGATGCAAACCAAAAAGGAATGAATACTTTTCAAAATGGAAGGCATCTATCTCATTTCAGATATTTTAAAAATGCTGTAGAAAGAACTATGAAATATTGTGCAGAAATTTTATTAGAAAGCTTTTGTATAATTCTAGAATTTCCTTACAAGATACAAAATCTAAGTTGAAGTGTGATTTTGGACATTTGCATTAAGCCTGGTAAGTTTGCTCAATGTTTCACGAGCAGATATGGTATCTGGATGATCTTCACCACAAATTGAAGTCCTAATAAAAAGAGCCTTCCTGATCAGATCATCCCCTATGTCAAATTGAGCACCTTTTAGCATTAGCTTGGCCCTGGTCTCAAGAACAGTGGCTCTACACAATGCTAACTCTTGCCAAAGGCAAGGATTTAACTGAGCATTAGTCTGGATGGATCTCCAGCAAAGTGACTTGTCCAACCACTTGTCAACTGGGGTAACAAATGCTTGGTCTGCAGCTTCCAATGCATTGGTGCACAGACGCAGAAGCTCAAGAGCCACGGTACATCGCGAATATGTGATGAATGTGTGAATTGCAAGAGGCAGAACCACTTTTTTGACAAAATATAAAAGCTCATACACCTTGAGTTCAACAACCACAAGATCATGACCAAATCCAAATAACAGAAAACATGCAGCCCATAAATGCTCCAGATTTTGTGCTATTGGCCCATGACTGATGATAGCTTGAATCATTGCTTGTGCAGCTCCACTATCTTCTCTTTTCCGGGCATACAGTTTGATGAGATCATTGATATGGATATAGCCTTGCTTAGTACTACTTCTAGCAATACTAAATCTCAGCAGCAAAGAAGATGCTTCTAATTCTGATTTTTTGGCATACGAGGATGTGAATCTGCATGTTAATAATTTCAGTGTTTTTCTCCAGAAACACTCCCCCTTACATTTTTCTGGTACCTTGTGAGCAGCAAGTGCCAATAGGGAAACAGGAATAGCACCAGGTGCAAACCATCCACTTACCAGCACCATTTTGGTGGCCAAGCTTCTAGGGCCATCTGCATGATCAAATATGGAGAAACAAACATCAAAAAGTTGCAGAAGGAAAGTGTTCTTCCTTAACGAGTGAGCTTCTTTATCACTCCATGACATCTCCTTCAAAGGCATTCTATTTATGGTGTCTAGGAGCCTGCTTGGTGTTATGGGAAGTTCACACAAAATTGCACCAATAATGGCTAGGCCAAGAGTTAACCTTCCAACTTTCTCCTCAATAGTCCTCAGGGCATCAACCTCGGAAACTGGATAGTCCTTATCACTGCCTAGCATTAAAGACATTGCCTCAACTCCAGACAAGTATGAAAGTTTCAAAGGTTCCAAGTTCATGATGCGAGGAAGGCGCGTTGATACAATTACATGAGTCTCTCCCCCGAAACGAGGGAGAAGATCCATCACAAGTTTGTGATCCCACCAATCCTTTTCACTTTCCAAGTTATCAATGACCACAAGATATGGAATGTTTCTCATCAGTTCCTTGCGAACTCTACAAATTGCTCCCACTTCCTGCTCTTCAAAGCCTCTTATCTTTGTTTTCTCCAAACTATTCTCAACTCCCACATCAACCTCTAAAAACGATCTGATATTGAGATAGTTTTGCCTTATGTATCTGCTCTCCCCTCCTATCCATAATACCATCTTGTATCTCTGGTGAAATCTGTATGCAAATTCAAGAATTAGCTCTGTTTTTCCGATTCCTGAATCCCCAGAAACACAAGCAATCCCTTTCCCATACAAAATCTTCATTCCTTTTCTCCTCTTAGTATACTTTCCCCGCTTGAACCTTGGATGGTTGTTCCTATGAGAAAACTCAATACCTTGCATTTCAATCTCTTTTTCTGACTCCTTCCATACAACCGGTTCTTTTTCCTTACTGTTGCCATTTCCCATATGCCTTTCCCTCCATCTTTCATCTATCACGTTACTCTTGCCCCAACCAATCCTCACACTCTTTCTCCTGGGTCTGGCCTTAAGTTCAATATAATCTTGTTCTGCATCTCCTGTGACATCACCAAAAAGTATAAATTCCAACTGTGAAAGCTCTTTCTTCCTGCCAATAAAATTCTCATTTCTAGCAAAAGGAAACTCCTCTTTTTCTGCCATTTCTCTCCATTTTGTCAAACGTTCTGCAACACTTCTCCTTCCTAATTTCATTGCTAATAATGTTACAGCCCTCAGTATGCAATCTCTCCAGTTGCCATCCTGAGCTTCCAATTTGCACTCATCAACCCGAGACAGGCCATGCACGGCGTCTTTCCACTCCTGCTCCAACCCTTCATATGAAAGCCAAAGTTCCCCTCCATGTTTTTCCCATAGTTCACCCCTCTTTTCAATAATATCTCTCACAAGACAATCAGCTGGACTCAAATCAAAGAATATTGGGACCAAATTCTTCTTGCTACCAAAATACTGCAGCTCCTCAATGGTGCATTGGTTCTTGAATGACTTCCTTGTTATAATCACTATCCCAAAAGAAGCAGCATCCATAGCTCTCTCTTCAATGCCACGTTTGCGCGAGCTCCTACATCGAGCCCTGTCTGAAACAAAGCAACTGATGCCTTGAATTTCTAACTCAGCACACAGCCATTTAGCAAACCGTAGTAGAGGGGGTTTGCAGCCATGTAATCCTACGAAAACATCACAACTCCTCAGCCTATAAGAAGAAAATGATGTGGAACCTGGAGTTGAGGATGTTCTATGGTTTCTGCCTTTCTTAATTGGCTTTTCTTTCTGTCCAGAATTGCCATCATCACGGCGATGGGAGTAACTGGACATGCTGCTACTAGAGATGCCAAATGAGGAAGATATTCTGTCAAGTTTCTGCAGATCACCTGAATTACATCCAACAGGAGATGCAGATAAATCTGAGAAAGTACATCTAACATTCACTAGTGAATTTGGTTCTGGAATCTCTGAAGTGGTGCTTGAGGGAGCCAAATCTAAATGGATTCTGTTACTTGGAGTATCGAGTCTGGTTGACTCTGATAATTGACATGATGATGGTGATCTTGGAGAGAAAAAAGGTGACTGGTTTGCTGAAAAGAAAGCAGAAGAGGATGATGACATGTTCCTTGTAGTCATGGCTTTCAAGGACCCAAACATGGGGCTCTCTTCCTGAATATCCATGCTTGTACTGGTAGGGTTCCCAATTATGCTAGATATCAAATCCCATGCACGCAACCGCACGATTTATATCTGAAATTGGGATCATATCCAAGTCAGTCACAAGATTTTATTCCAATAACCAATGAGCAAAAATGAACCCAAACTGAATGTTCTACATTGTTATGTTCATGCTAGATAAAAATATAAAAATAAAAATGGTAACAGTGGCATAACCATCCAAGTTATGCAGGGGAGGTAAAACTTTACAGAAAGAATTAAATTCGTCAACGCGCAAAGAAAAAATCATGACAAGGCAGCAAGAGAAACAACCTAAACGGAAATACTTACTTTATAGAAAGTAATTTGGGGGAAAGGGGGTAAAACTTTACAAAAAGAAATTGATTCTGAACAGTGAATACTCCAAAAAAGATGGTATCTGATAGGGCATGCACTCATTTGATGCACAGGATTCGTGTCTAATTGATTCAATAACCAAATTCAAAAGCAAAGAAGAAGGCACCATCATAAAGAATAAAATCAGAACCCCATCTCGGAGAGACAGAGAGAGAGAGAGAGAGAGAGAGAGAGAGAGAGAATTCATTGAATCATAAAACTGCATTGGGATTCAGATCTGAGTACTTACAAGGACACCAAACTGAAACACAGTTTCGTAGATTCTCTATGAGAGAGCACCGTATGAAGCTTTTTCAAGAGCAACTACGGCTGAAACAACAGCATCTGGCCAAATAAAAGAGTCGGAACTCTGTAGGGGGAGGGGGGATGAGAGAGACACCAAATTAGGAAAAGGGAATCGATGAGAACAAAAAGAGAAAATGATTAGTAGCTAATGGTCTAATAAAACAGATTAGCCATACCTTCTGACCCTTGTCTTGACAGTCATTTGCTGATTCTGAACTTCTACTCTTGCTTCCAACATTAATTTCATCAGAATTAACATTTCCTAATCCATTGTCCTTTTCTTTTCTATCATTAGAATCACACATGTACTGCATTCGTTGAAGCAACCTCTCCAACCATTTGTCACGATGGCTATCTCCAGTTAGAGCATTGAATTCTACCAATATGCGATAATACTCTGAGGCATTAGGTACACAACTCGCTGGTGTTTCAGACTTATGCAGTCCACTTTCAAGAGTTTCTTCCTCCTCCCTTGAAACATCAAGAGATGAAACACATCATTGCCAGAACAGTGTATAAATAATAAATATATAGTAGATACTATTCATTCAATACACATATCATTAACGCATCAAGTGGATCACAACACAAGTATTGAGTGAAAGGCCAAAAATCTTGGAAATTAAGTGGTGAGACTGAGAGTATTTGGGGACCCTTTACAGAAAAGAGGAAGAACAAGGACAAAGTTGTTGAAAATGAAGGCAAAGCTGTACCTTTTTTTCTGAGAAGGGGAGAGAACAAGTCTTGGGGGTTCAGAAAATGTAGCTGTTTTTTGATAAGCACGCTGTTTTGTAAGTATATAGTGTGTATATATATACATATATATCTAAAACCTGTCTCTTAACTTCACCCTTTCACACTCTGTCTAGTATCATTATTTGTGTGACTTTCTTGGACTAAACCTTAGCTTTTTATTTTTCCTATGATTCCTTGGAATTTTATATTTGTCTGAGAAACTGGTCTGAAGGGGAAGAGGAAGAAGAATGGGAGCAGAGAAGGGATCTGACTAGGGTATGGAAGTAGGCTCCACAATTGACAGCGATTTATACCACTGTTAAATTTGCAGATATTGAGCAATGTGATTTGCGTTCACGTTGTTAAAAATATTGCAAAGAGAGAGAAAGTTTCCTTTTTTACCAATGGGTGCTTAAAGGGAAACTTTGATTGATTAAGATAGTCAAAACTCAAAACCAAAGCAAAACGTGGTGTTTGTACTTTGTAGAATGGATGACTGAGGTTCTAACTTCTCTGCAGTCCGCACTGCCACTTGTTTTTTTCCTCTTCTCTGCTTCTGTACTTCTTCGTTACCTAAATTACATTCCAAGGGAATTCGGTTTATAATCAACCACATTTCAAAATACTTTACATTGCGTGTAACATTTTTTTAAATATATTATACAAATTATTTCCAGTAAGTTGTAACTCAGAATTACCATTTTTTAGGATATGATTACCGCATTTTGTTGATGCAACAGAATATACCTTAATAACAAATTCCTGTCATTAGACAGCAATTTATGGTAAGTTAGTAAGTTACCGCGTTATAATCTTTATCTAGAGTGAACCTTCAATTTTGTCTTTGAAATCTGTCCAATCTCTTAACTAGTTTCTAAAGTTAAAAAAAAAAAAATTGTTTCATAAACAAATAAATTCTCGAGTGTTAGAAATTATATATTAAAAAGGAAATCATGTTGATTGGTCTCTTAATGATTGAAAAATCTTTCAAGGTAATTCGTAAACATTTTTCAGATATACCAACTTAGAGACTAAAGGGGGTGTATTAGATTAGGATTTTAAAGGATTTTTTTAGTAAAAAAAAATCTTGCGAATTTTAAAAGACTTTGCAAGATTGGCATTGCTGCAAAATGATAAAAATATTACAATGGAGAAAATTGGTGATTGATCTTTTTTATTTTTATTTTTATTATCAGTGAGTTATAACATAAGACTTTATCTATATTACTATAACTCTTAAAAAAAAAATGGTGATCAGTTGATCTGACATCCTGCTAAGGTAGGTTACAATATACTTTTTAGCATGTGAAAAATCTGTCTTTTATTGCTGAAACATTTTTTTTAATAATTTAACTTTTAAACGCTTATAATTTTGGTACATTAATTCAACATAAGGATTAGTGTTCAAACAAAAATAAAATAAAATAAACATGTCATGTGAAAAGTGAGTCTCACAAATAATTTAATAAATTGATACTAAAACCTGTCAGTTTTCTGGTTGTTTACGGAAATTACTTTCATGTAAATTTATTATATTTGTGACCTTTTTTTAATTTGAACATTACTTGAATCTTATAATTTATGTATGTAAATCTAATAAAATAATTTTTTCATCTTAAATAAATCAAATAATCACGTATCAAAATTGAAATAGACTACTATTTTAGAAGAATTGCATTAATCAAATTTAATCTATTAATAGATAAAAAAAGAAAAATAAAAGAAAATTATAATTAAAAAATAAAAAATATTTTGGTATATTGTAGCAACCTCGGTCGCGACGGGATGGCGAAAAATAAATTGAAAAAGAGGGAGTCGCCATCGAGGTTGCGATGGGAAAACTAAAATAGTTAATATATCTCTTAGAGCTATGCATAGGGCAATCTTTAAAGGTAATAAAAAGTCGTGGGATGACAATAGGGTAGTGTTTTAATGTCTCCTTCTGAAATTGTATATGGTTTTAATCCTCTCATCCTTTTAGATTCACTTCCTTTCCTTAATGTTGCTTCTTTTATTCATAAAGAAGGATCATATAGGACAAACTTTATCAAGAAATTGCATGAGAGGGTTCGAGGCCATATTCAATCTCAAGTAGAGAATGAAGTTAGCGGAAAAACACACAGAAGGGGGGTTGAATGTGTGTGAACGAAGGAATTTTAAAACTTTTTTTGTCTAATGAAAACATTATTTTGAACACTTAAAAACTGTGCAAGGTTTTCTCAACAAAAGATTTTGCGTTTGAGAGTTTATCGTCTGCACAAGGAAAATGTTTCTTAAAATAATAAGTTAAGCAAGTGTATTTTCTGTCTAAAGATAGTTGTAGTTAAAAATAAGCAGTGTACGAAATTTTCAGTATGACATATCAGTTAAACAAAATTGCATCTGAGAAATAGATAAAAATGTGCAAAGAGTTTTATACTGGTTCGCTCGACCTGAGCTATGTCTAGTCTCCTTCAACCGAAGGGTTCCACTAATCATAACGGATTACAAGTATTATTAACCACTTCTGGTTTGCCAACTTCATTGTCAACGCTAGTATTCTTAAACCACTTTTGGTTTTCCAAGTATTATCAACCACTCCTGGTTCGCCAACTTCACTCGTCAGTGCTAGTATTCTTAAACCACTTCTGGAAGTATTATTTCAACTAGCCTCTTCAGGCTTTACAGTAGATAGATGTTTTGAGTGTGTGTATAACTCTAACAGATAAGATAGGATGGTTTCTACACTCGCTAAGGTATGCAATCTTAGTTTTACAGAAAATCCTACGAAATCCTAAACCAATACACCCCCTAAGTATGTGTTCGAAGAATCCGGTTAAATAATTTTTTTCTACTTTCCAATGAAAAAAAGCTAAAACAAGTGTGATATTAATTTTTTATTATCGTACTCCAAAAGCTAAAACAAGTGTGATATTAATTTTTTATTATCGTACTCCAATACAAACACATTCTATATGGATGAATATTGAATATTTGAGAATTATTTATGAAAAATTATTACTTAATGGACTATTTAGGAAATTGGATAATACTTTAGAGACTAAATTGATAATTTATTTTTTTATCTGAAACTTCAGCAATATATTAAAAACAATTAAATCATATGTTAAATTTATTATATTAAAACTTAAATGCCTTTATTCTTTACTATGTGTTTAGTATATGACAAATTTTTTCATTTCTAAAAATCATGATTCTTAATAATCTTGAAAATTTGTTTAACTGATCCTAAATGTGTTAGAAATTTTATTTCTAATAATTATTGTGGGCTACATATATTATTTGTAGTATTTATATTAGTTATTTACATTTAGTTGGACTCAATAAAAGTGATCTAATTTTAGTGAGCCTTTAGACTGCCAACAGAAAAAACTGATATGGGCCCAAATAAGTGGAAATCAGATTTGGCCCGTTAGGGGTTAATGGGAACCCTAATAGGTTTAAAATCATAAAGATGGTCATGGTCCCCAATATGCCAAATCAGAAACACACGTCTCTCTATCTCCCCATCAGAAGAGTAACATCAAGTCCCATCAAGGAATCCAGTGATTTGGTTGAGGAAGATCATTGCACCAAAAGACTATTTCGCTGCAACCTTTTGATCAACGTCAATGGATACAGGTACGTATTATTAACATTGACTCTATAATCTGAGACAACGGTTCTTAATATTGATAAATGAAAATTTTCTATTTGGCTTAAGAAATTTATCCCAACAAGTGGTATCAGAGCCGCCGTTGTTATTAGGTTATGGGGTTCTAAAGCGTATTGTTACAATTTTTTTTCTCTCTTCATTGATAATACATGTATTTGAATGCGTTGGTCATTTTTTTTGCTTCAATTTGGTTTAATTGATTATACGGATAAAAAGATCGATTAAAAATTGAATTTTTATGAAAGAGAATTTTTGTGAAATTGTATAATTTTCTGTGAATGTTATAAATTTGTATATGTAACAATTTTGCAATGATCCTGAAGACATTGTCAAATGTAGAAGTTTTTTGAATTTTTAATTTTCTCACCGGAAGTGAGATAATTGTGCAACAATGCAATAAAGGAATATTTTCTCACCAGAAGTGAGTTAATTGTGCAACAATGCAATAAAGAAATATTTTCTCACCAGAAGTGAGTTAATTGTGCAACAATGAAATAAAATAATGTTTTTCTCACCGGAAGTGGGAAAATAATATTATGTTTGATCCTTTGAGTACCACCAGAAGTGGGATTTTTTGTTTTTGTCAAAATCATTGTTGTTATATTAAATGATATTTGGGAAAATTATATGATTAATATATTGAATTCCACATTATCGATTTTTTTAATGGCATTCGCGTAAGAATTATTTTCTTGAAATTTGATTGATATTATGTTCAAATTTAAATTGATATTTTTTTATATATCAAATTTGAGTGCGAATGTTTGCAGATTATAGACCCTCTTTATTAATTAATTTTGTCTGGTAAATTAAATAAATTGATGTAATATATTTCCAAAACAATCCCTATTATACAAATTAATTTGATTAAAAATTACAATAGATGTTAGTATGAGATTATTTATGCAATTTGTGTTCATCCCAAAGGAAGAAACAATTTGGCCAAATAATAACATGCCTGTGATGATAAATATGTGACAATTATAAAGTTACAATCATGTAAATAATAGTCGATCCAAATAAAGGTTATTATTTGACAGAATTAATTGTCAATATTTGATCGTTGCATTGAGAGTACCACTAACAAGTTAATTTGTATGTCCAAAGACAAAAAATTAATGTTGTGCTCGGTATCTTGTAATGGGTCTATTATGTAAATAATCTGCATGCTTTATTTATTTTATTTTACTGTGAGCATGTAATTAAATTAATATTTTTTTATCTATGTTCTATTACAGTTGTTGTTGCTAGTGCTGTTAACTTATCTGCTCAAATTAATTGTATACCCATGCTTAATGGGACAAACTTTAAGGCCTGGAAGGAAGCAGTTGAGATAATTCTTGGTTGCATGGATCTTGATCTTGCACTTTGGGCTGAGAAACCTACTCCAAATCCGGAAAACCCGGACGAGGATAAGGTTGAAAAGTGAACACTCAAACCGAATGTGTTTGATGATCATAAAGCAATTTGTTCTAGAAGTTTTTTGGGGCTCTATTTCTGAGAGTCACAATGCTAAAGGTTTCCTTGATGCCGTTGAACAGTATTTCACCAGTAATGAGAAAGCGGTACCTGCAAAGGCACTCTAACGATCAAGTAAGTATTCGGTATAGAGCAATAAAGACTTATATATTGGATAAAAGCATACCTCATTTATGTCCCATCACCTGTGTATTTATAGTGACATGTCTGGGCCTGGTGGGCCTTCTGTCTTAGAAGATGGGTAATCCTTAGATTAACCTTAATCTCTTTTAATTAGTCGTGATAATTATTGTATAACAAATATCTAATTTGCCACGTGTT